ACAGCCTCTGGGACTCAATATTGAGTTTCACAACTTCAGAGTATGATCTCTTTACTATATTTTCTTACATCCCCACTCTACCTCACCGTGTCTTGTTTATATCTTCTTGGCTTTGATCTCAACAGAGTGGACCCATTTTCTCCTTTTTACAGCTAACATTTATACACATTTTAAACATCCTTTACCACAATTATCACTGTCTTTGTCTTTTGCTCTGGGCTCATTAATCAGTTCCACTTGCTCCCCCTCTGCCTACAGCATAAAAAAAACATTTTCAACCTTCTTCAGATCTCAAGAAGAGTCATGCCAAGCTCGAAAAGTTAACTCTGTTTTTCTCTCTCCATAGATGCTGCCAGACCTGCTGAGTTTCTCCACTTTCTGTTTTTATTCTGCACTTAAGAGTACTGTGCACAGTTCAGGTCTTTATGCCATATTAAGAAAACTAAATATAGGGAGAAGTGTAAAGAAGATTTATGTCTTAAGTAAGAAAACTGAGACATTATTCTATTGGAAAGATTAAACAGGCTGGGGGAACTTTGTTAAAACAGCTGAGAAGATCTACAGGAGACTTGACAGAGATCTTTCCATTTATGAAGAGGTGGACCAGGGTGATGTGGAAACAATATTTCCAATTATGGAAAAAATCCAAAACCAGAAATTGTGAATACCAGATAATGGTGAACAAATGGAAAAATATGAAGAGTTTTCTTTACTCAAATAACATTTAAAATGGAGAACTTGCTACAACAGGACTTGGCTGAAGCACTTTACCTAGGTGCTTTCAAAAGAAAAATTGACATGTACATGAAATAAAAAAGGAACACTACCAATTCTCTAAGAGCGTCTTGGAATGTGGCACCTTTTTAAAACTTTTTTTTCCAAGGAGGCACACTTTGTAAACTGTGTGTTCCAGCTCAAGCAGGAGGAAAACTGACAGTTCAGTCAGAGAAAGATCAATGAGAGGGATAGATTTGTGCCAAATTTCTGCAACTCCCTTCCCTCAAGCACTGTGCCTACACCACATGGACTGTAGCAGTTCAAGAAGGCAGCCTACCACCACCTTTAGGACATTCGGAGATAGGCCTCATCTGTTGCCTATCTAGTGCTGCCCCATTAATAAATAAATAAAATTGATGAGCTAACAGGCCTACAATTGTTTTGACACACTCCAGGAGGAGACCTACCTCATTCAAGCTCTGTGGTACTGGCAGCGCCACCAGGAGAAGTGGCTACTGCCAGTACTACAACTTAGGCCAAGGTGGTGTTCAGAGATGGATGCAGACCTCCAGGTAAGTCTCAGATCTCACTGAGTCCCAGATGGCAGGCCTTGGTGAGGGAAAGGGGATGAGGCCTGTTGGACCTGGTGCTGGGAGGTGGGGGGGGTTGGTTGTGGTATTTAGTTGTGTAGAAATATTATTGTTTCTAAACAGTATACACTACTGAAAAACCTCAACTTGCTGGAATATGTTATCATGTAATCAACCAATGCAGGAAGTCAGGAAACATAAGGGTACTGAGGAAGGGTCACTCGACCTGAACCATTAACTCCAATTTTCTCTCCACAGATGCTGCCAGACCTGCTGAGCTTTTCCAGCAATTTCTGCTTTTGTTTCTGATTTACAGCATCCACAGATTTTTTTTGTTTTTTACTAAGTCAGGGAGCACCATCATTTTGTGAAGAGTGATAGTAATGCTGAATTCTCTCCCATAAAAAGCAGTGGCTAGAAGCCTGATTAATAATTCAAGATCCAAGACAGATAGATCCTTGTGAAGCGATACTGAGCCAAGACAGATGGATGAAGTTAGGATACAAATCAGCCAGAATCTCAGTGAATAGCAGAGCAGGCGTGACAGGCTGGATGGTGCTCTCTTGTTCATAGGCATGACACACAATGCAGGAAAGTACAGCTGCTGCTTTCAGATCATTCAATTGCTTCTTCCTCTCTTGCTCGCCATAACACATCTGAAGCAGTCATCTCTTCGGCTTCTGCAGGGTTGTGATTCTCACGTTTAATTAGAATTGCAAGTGGGAGATGACATAATACATGTAAATAGATAGCAATCTCGACATTTCTGAAATGTCACTGTTTATGACCTGGTCTGGTGTAGTGGGACAAATTTAAGTGGAATGGCATCAGGCCAGATGTCTTATCTCAATAAGTTATCATGCCAAGTCCTGTACTGCAAATATAATCAAATGTTCAGTGACTGGACAACACTCCAACTTACAAGCCAGATTTTCTGAGGAGTGGCAATTTGCTGAGACTGCCTCCCTGTTCCTTTTTGACAAAAGGAGAGAAGTCCACATTCCTGAGAGGAGATTCCAATCAGACCCTCTACAGGTATACAGATCCGTGCTTCCATTCTGACTGTTCTTTCAGAACACGGAACTGTCAGAAGAAGGCAAATCATACCCTCAGTCAGCTGCTGCATTCTGAAACACAACGGTCCAGAATCACAAGCAGCCTTTCTGACAGTTGCTGTCAAATTAGAAGTACATAGTATGAGGTTAGGACACTGGGAGGGTAGGGTGCCAGGTTAAGTAAAAGGGGCTGTTGGGTTCTGACAGCTGAAGGAGTAGATGTGCAGAGCGAGGGCGGGGGGTGGGGTTTAGCCCTGTGGGATGAATGAAGGTTGGGTCCTGGGAGCTGAAAGAGGTGAAGGAGATGTGTTCCAGGAAGTCAGGGTAAGGGGGTGTAAGTAGTCTGAGATAGGTGCAGTTGGGGTGTCTGTGAGTTAACATGAGTCATTGATCAGGATTTAAACTGCGTATTCTGCTATAACGCGTGTTTTGTTAACGCGAATTGGCCGTAACACGACTGATGAATAGTAGACAATGTTTGGATAGCGCAAACTTTCTACTGTACAGTACAACGCTTTCCCTATAATATGATTTTCTACTGTGCGAGGTCATGCAAGAATGCAACTATCACGTTATGGTAGAAATACCTGTACTTTTCCTGGGTAACCACTAATTTCTTGGGAATCATCTAAATTCTCTGATTTAAATGGATACTTTTGAGATATTTGGGTGTCGGGAAATTGCACAGTGTAACTTCAATTTCCCATTCAATTCCATCGGCGTTTGCAGCGATGGGAACTCTGCAGAAATTCCTATCTATGCTAGAAAAACAACAGTTTGGCCGTCGGAAAATCCGGAACATTCCGTTTATTTTAAATTTAAGGTATCTACGTTTTAGCAAGTTGGGTTATGGGATACGTCCATTTGATAGCAGATTTTTAGGTTGTGAGATACAGCCATTACTATCACAGCCAGTATTTGTTGCCCATTCCTGCTGTTGAATGAGTTGGCTCTCTAGGCCATTTCAGAGCGCAGTTAGGAGTCAATCACATTGCTGTGGATGTGGAGGTACATGTAGACATGACTTGGTAAGAACGGCAGATCTCTTTAAGGGCATTAAATGAAGCAGATGGGTTTTTAAAATAACAGTTGACAATGGTTATATGGTTATCCTTAGACTGGTTTTTAAATTCCAGATTTTACTGAATTTAAATTTTACCAGCTACCGTGGTGGAATTTAAACCACAACATTCGTCTGTGTCTCAGGATTACCAGGCCAATGACAATGTCACTGCACTATCAATTCCTGTCAATTTTAAGGCACTAAAGCAATGATAATATCAGAGATTTCACTGGCAGCCGAATCAAACAGCTCGTATTGCACTGATCTCTAAGTATCACATGGTAAGCTGCAGTATTGCATACAGGATGAACAAACTGATTTATCCAACCAGTAAATGTTGTGCAACTGCATCCTGCACATAATAAACATCAATTTTACTACCTTGCAAACAATGTGCCGCTTTTTCTTTAAAAAGTTAAATTACAATAATTCGGTTTGTGTTTTGTGTTGACAGGTCTATTTTGTGAGCAGCACCAGTTTTGAAATCCACTTGAGGTAGAATGAATACACCAAATCATTATATGATTATTTACCATCATTTGTCTGCTGCTTAGCCCATTTAAAGAAAAATTTAGCTGGGCTAAATTTTTCTGAAGAAGGGCCCCGACCGAAGCGTCACCTTTCCTGCTTCTCTGATGCTGCCTGGCCTGCTGTGTTCCTCCAGCTCCACACTGCGTTATCTCAGACTCCAGCATTTGCAGTTCTTGCTATCTCTCAGTCTCACTTATTTTTGTTTTCCCCTAGCATTAGCAGATGACTCATGTCTAGCAATCTCGTCTGGGTCTAGTAATCAGTTATTCTCAAATTGTTAGTAAAGAAACACAAAACTGAAGTGTGCAACTCGCTATAGGGAATGAGCAGACTTATTCCTTATATTTTGAACTTTTCTAATGTGAGAGAATAGCGAACTCTTCATTAGGGGAGATTAATCATAAAGATAAAGGATAAGATAGTGATTGCATTTGCTCTATGTGAATTGATCGCCTGCTTTCCAGCCCTTGATCTTTCATTTTGTGAGAAAATGGGATCTGTGTTAAACACTTTGAATAACACTTCATTTAGAAAAAGCTTTTGCAACATTAGATGTATAGCTCAAAGATAATAAAAGCATAAAAGAAATTGAAAATGCTGGTCTGGCCCATGTATTAGAATCATTGGCTGGAATATCCTGCCTTATTGGTGAATTTGCTAATAGACAATCCTACCAACTTCCAAAGGGAAACTGCTACTTACTGCACAGCACGTTCCCCCCATAACTTCAATACCCATCTCAGCAGACAAAAATCACCTTCCATTGGCCTAACAACATGGAGGACGGAGGATGATACAGTTCTGCGTGGCATTGCCTGCTAAAAGACAATATATTTCAGCAAATGGCAGGAGGAGCAGATACGTTGGAAGCTGGAATCTGTTCAGGTTTTTCATTGTCTCTTTGGCAGTGTTGCATGCCAGTTGATCCTACTGCCTTCAATTTTGACTGTTCTTTTGGACAGGTGTGAAATGACATTGGTCAGAAGCCTTTTTCACAAATACAATCCTGACCGTAGTTTAGCTGTGACCCAAGGAAGAACATAACCATGGTTTCCCCATCAAGTAAACAGTACAGGAAAAGGATCTATGATCAGCAGAGGCCAAATAAGGTAAGCTCCTTTACTTTTCTTGTGGATCTAGGTGGAGTCAGTTGACTCCTGATGACCTCATGAAATGTAGACCTCCTCAAATCAGGCTTCCTCCACTTCACTCCCTTGAGATCTTTTCTTGTAGAATCCCTACAGTGTGGAAGCAGGCCAGTTGGCCCATCAAGCCCATGCCAACCATCCAAACAACATCTCATCAGACTCATCCCCCTACCCTATCACTGAAACCCTGCATTTCCCATGGCTAATCCACCTAGCTAGTACATCCCTGGTCACTACGGGCAATTTAGCATGGCCAATTCATCTAACCTGCAAATCTTTGGACTGTGGGAGAAAACTGGAGTACTTGGAAGAAACCCACGCAGACATGGGGAGAATGTGCAAACTGCACACACAGTCGCCCAAGGGTGGAATCAAACCCAGGTCCCTGGTGCTGTGTGGCAGCAGCGCTAACCACTGTGCTGCCCTGTGGTGGCAAGCTGGCCGTCTCCTTCCACTTGAACCTGAGTGCCTATTGTCAATCAGCTCCACATCCTGTCCATAACTGGGTGACATACAGATCAGATCTGGTTGTTAAAATTACCTTGAAATCAGCCTGCTGAGGTTGGGAGTGCAGTGCTCAGCTTTATTAAGTTAACAGCCTGAATTCTGCTCCCGATCAATATTGCAGATTGTGCAGCCAGGTCGTGGAATTAATAAAGAAAGCAGTATTTTGCTGAAGTAACAAACTTACAGAATGACCATGAGGCCTGCTACCGTTATTTTAGCCAGTAGACGCTCCAATCCAGAAGTCCAGAACGTGGACTCAAGAAATTTAGTGCCAAACAGGTTTACCAAGGGAACAAAAGGACAGCGAAAATGTCTTTGATGGGAAATAAAACTACAGAAACTCTACTACAAATGCCAAAAACACAAACCACAGACCCTATCCCAGGAGAACTCAGAATGATGCAGCTGAGAAAAACAGTCACAATGGAAGAGATTGTCTGATAAAATCTTCATGTGACTGAGGCTGGTCCTGAGTGCAGTGCCAGTATGTTTGACAAGTGCCTTTGTTTCAGTGCTATACTCGTAATCAGCACCACAAACAATCAGAGATGTAAAATGCTGAAAGAAAGCTGCTGAACAGCTAATCTCTACATGATTCACAGATCAGAAGAATTTTTGGGATGACGTTGAGCTTACGATTGTGGGGAACAGGAAGTTTCATGGCTGCTGGACAAAAAAATAGAAGAGTTGACCACACTGGAACTTCTGAGTCATGTTAATCTTCAGAAAAAAATATTGCAACATGTTCCCTGTATCCATTGGATCCAAGGGCTTGTGAAACAAGTGATTCCTGCTGACATTATGAACCGGAATTGTTTCTTAAAATATTTTTCAGTTTTTATTATTTCTACCAGAAATGTGAGAAGTTTAAGTGGAGAAGAACCTACAGAGCTCAAAGACAGTTAAATTTGTAGAAAATCAGTTTTTATTTTGAACATCATCTTACATTCCCCTGATATGTGTGATATTTAACAACAATTCCAAGAATTCTGGGAAGTTCACGTCCTCAGGATTTATGTTAAATTGTACAAAAGGGAATAACGAGTTATAACTGTGCGTTATTTCATTTTGTTTCACTTTAGTATCTACTTTTGAATGTGAACAAGAGAATTCTTGACATCAATGATCCAGTTCAATGCTGCCATTCTGAGAGACTCCCGAGGGTTTGAGTGAATACAGTTGGACCATTGGGATACCATTAAGACAAAATCATGTACGTCGATCCACATCCAGCAGGGATTAAACTCTGTCAAGGAGACAATAAGGACTGCTAATGCTGGAAACCAGAGCCTATAGGTGGACAATATTTCGGGCCGAAACCCTTTGTCGGGACTGAAGAGGGGTTTCAGTCTGAAACACTGACTTACCTACTCCTCGGATGCTGTCTGACCTGTGTGCTATTCCAGCTTCACACCATTAAACTCTGTCTCTCCCTGGTACAATCTGTCAGTAACATCGAGGGGAAAATTGAATACGTGCTCAGGTTTGGAATTCTACGATTGATGCTCCACTTCTAACAAGAAGCAAAAACTCTTAAGCATTTTAAAATGTCTCAATAGTATCATTGCTGCAGCTCCCAAGACAGAACTGGCATTGACCACGTTTTGCTAATACACCCACACTGATAGTACAAACTAGTCCAAACCATCAATATTGAGCACAACTGTATGTTCAAAGCACTAAGCTGGGTTGACTCAATATGACTCAGTCCTTGGGTCAGAAATTAAGATTTCATGCTCTTTCCTGGGATTCTCAGTGTCAGTGAAGTTTGCTTCAGTTGCCTTTTCTGTCAGAATCTGAAACACAAGGACTGGGCCTGAAAAGTTCATTCTATGTATATCATCAAGTAACACTTGATGACTTTCATAAAATTCACACTTTTGCGTACTTCATACACATAAAAATACAAATTAGGAGCAGAAGTAGGCCACTCGGCCCTTCCAGTCTGCTCCATTATTCAACAAGATCATGGTTGATCTGCTTATGTTTTGAATTTCACATTCCCATCTACCCCAATAACTTTTGATTCCCTTGCCTAAGAACAATCTACCTACCTCTGCCTTTAAAATATTTAATAACTCCATCTCTATCATGTTCTGAGGCAGAGTTTTAAAGTCACACAATCCTCCAATAGAGAAAAAAAATTCTCATCTGTTCTAAGAGGGCAATCTCTAACTAGCTGTAACCTCCATACTGATCGATTCTCACATCTTTCAAGCTGTCGTTTTCTGTTTTACTTCCTTTTTCCCTTTTTGAACATAGGAAATAAATCGCTACTTTTTGTCTGACGGAACTTTTCCAGAATCCAGGGAATCTTGGAAAATCAGCACCAAACCATCTACTACCTTGTTAGCCACCTCTTTTAAGACCCTAGGCTGAAGTGTAACAGGAAGCAGAGACTTGTCAGCCCATAGCTCTACTTGTTTGCAGAGCACTGCTTCCCAAATGATTGTAATTTCCTAAGTTCCTCCCTCTCTTCAACCTCCTGATTTACAGCTAGTACTGCTATGGCTAACTATATGAGCATGAAAGCTATGCCAGCTGAAGTGATCTGGGATACTAGACCAGACAGTAGATCAATACTGAAGCAGTGACAGACAATTAAAGGGATAATTTGGAATATTCAGAATATCTACATTCCTACTATTAAAAAAATCCTAAGGGATTGATCCATCATCTGTGGTTAACTAAAGAAGTTAACCAAAGCATCAACTTAAGGAAAAAGCATTTGTGTGAAAATGAGTGGCATGGGAGTTATTTTGACAGAACAGCAGAATGACTAAAATATTAAATCAGAAGAAAGAAATTAGAGTATGAGATGAAGCTAGCTAGAAAAGTAAAAGCAATATTCAGTACCCAATCCTTGTCATCTTGCAGCCTATGTAATGATTATCAGATCATACTTATTTACTTCAATGTGCCCCATCAATTTGTTTGCTTTCTGATGAATGCTATATACATTCAGACATAGAGCTTTTAGTTCTGTCCTTTTGTTAAATTTACAACATCTAGTCTTGACTGTTGTGTATTCTTAGGTTTATTCTGTGTGTCACTTCTCATCATCCCTTGGCCCGCATTTCCGATATTATTACTTTTCTCTCCTACCTTGACTGCCCGTTGATTTCCTACATCTACTCAGGCCTGATCCCTCAACCTCTTGGTTAGTTTAAAGCTCTCTTTACTTCCCTAGTTATATGGTTTGTTAGAACGCTGGTGGCCCCCACATAGTTCAGATGGAGACCATCCCAATATCTCCACTAATAATGTCTGTATGCCACATTCTGAAATCCACCTCCCCCCACTCCAATTTTTCAAAAATGTATTCAATTCACTAAGTTCATGTGCCCTCCACTGTTTAGCGCATGGCTCAGGTAATAATAGAGATTACCCTTGAGGTCTGCTCTTCAATTTGGTGCCTAGCTCCTCACAGTTGAACTTCCAGTCGGGATCTTCCCAAATAGCATTGAGAATTTCTTGTTTTGTAGATCAATACTGGACTGAAGTTGAGGACATTACCACCATCTCAAAAATTGTGGAATTGATCAGTGAAAACTGATAATTCCAATTTCAAAGATTTGGAAGAGTCCCTCCCATTGGAAGCTCACTATTTGTGGAGTGAGACTTCTGGCACTTTTGCATGACTTTAACTCTGTTGAAGTATTTCCAAGGGAAGCTGAAGATAAGGCTGAAGCATTCGCAGCAATCTTCAGCCAGAAGTGCCGAGTGGATGATCCATCTCGGCCTCCTCCAGTGGTCCCCAGCATTACAGATACCAGTCTTCAGCCAATTCGATTCACTCCACGTGATATCAAGAAACAATTGGACACACTGGATACTGCAAAGGCTACAGGCTCTGAAAACATTCCGACAATAGCACTGAAGACCTGTGCTCCAGAATTTGCCGCTCCCTTAGACAAGCTGTTCCAGTACAGTTACAACACTGGTTCCTACCTGGCAATGTGGAAAATTGCCCAAGTATGTCCTGTACACAAGAAGCAGGACAAATCCAACCTGGCCCAAACCACCCCATCAGTCTCCTCTCGATCATCAGTAAAGTGATGGAAGGTGTCATCAACAGTGCTATCAAGCAGCACCTGCTCAGCAATAACCTGCTCAGTGACGCCCAGTTTGGGTTCTGCCAGGGCCACTCAGCTCCTGACCTCATTACAGCCTTGTTCCAAACATGGACAAAAGAGCTGAATTCCAGAGGTGAGGTGAGAGTGACAGCCCTTGATATCAAGGCTGCATTCGACCAAGTGTGGCATCAAGGAGCCCTAGCAAAACTGGAATCAATGGGTATCAGGGGGCAAACTCTCCGGTGGTTAGTCATATCTGACACATAGGAAGATGGTTGTGGTTGTTGGTAGTCAATCATTTCAGCTCCAGGGCATCTCTGCAGGAGCTCCTCTGGGTAGTGTTCTAGGCCCAACCATCTTCAGCTGCTTCATCGATGATCTTCCCTCCATCATAAGGTCAGAAGTGGGGATATTTGCTGATGATTGCACAATGTTCAGCACCATTCGTGACTCCTCAGATACTGAAGCAGTCCATGTTCACATGCAACAAGATCTGGACAATATCCAGATGTGGGCTGACAACTGGCAAGGAGCATTCGTGCCACACAAATGCCAGGCTATGACCATGACCAATAACAGACAATCTAACCACCGTCCCTTGACATTCAATGGTGTTACCATCACTGAATCCCCCACTATCAACATCCTGGGGGTTATCATTGACCAGAAACTCAACTGGACTCACCACGTAATCACAGTGGCTACAAGAGCAGGCCAGAAGCTAGGAATACTGCGGTGAGTAACTCACCTCCTGACTCCTCAAAGCCTGTCCACCGTCTACAAGGCACAAGTCAGGAGTGTGATGGAGTACTTTCCATTTGCTGCTCCAACAACACTCAAGAAGCTTGACACCATCCGGACAAAGCAGCCCGCTTGATTGGCACTACATCCACAAACATTCACTCCCTCCATCACCGACGTTCAGTATTGGCAGTGTGCACTGCAGAAATTCACCAAAGATCTTCAGACAGCACCTTCCAACCCATGACCACTTCCATCTAGAAGAAGAACAACGGCAGCAGACTTATGGGAACATCACCACCTTCAAGTTCCCCTCGAAGCCACTCACCATCATGACTTGGAAATATATCGCTGTTCCTTCACTGTCGCTGGGTCAAAATCCTGGAATTCCCTCCTTAATAGCGTTATGGGCCAACCCACAGTAGGTAGCCTGCAGCAGTTCAAGAAGGCAGCTCACCACCACCTTCTCAAGGGCAACTAGGGTCAGGCGAGAAATGTTGGCCAGCCAGCAACGCCCACATCCCACAAATGAATAGAAAAAAGTATTTTATTTACATTTAGAAACCTGTCCAGCTCATTTTTTTGGAAGATGATACACCCTCACTCTTTCTCGCACTTTTCAAAAAAAAAACTTGCTAAAATAAATGGGCTGCCCACTCTTGCACACCCACCTATGACAACAGTGTTATAACACAGGCAGGGTAATACTGGGATCAGATGAGTTTGAACAAGCTCATTGTGAGCGTGCTATTTATTTCATCGCATGGTCACACTGTGTTCTGGTGGTGCACTCAGAGCTGGCTGTTTGACTTATGCTAAAGTACATCCAATGTTCTGCTGTTATTTCAATGATTACCTTGCCAATTTCAACGATCACTACTGTCTGCACCAGGAACTGAACAGGTTTCTCAAAGTTATAGTTACAAAATATTCAGTGCTGTTGACAGTCATTTATAATTTATGCAATAGTGCCCACTTTTGAGACGAAAAAAAAACTTTCCTGACAGTAAAACAGAATCTTTTATACATGAAATAGGATCTAATGCTGTTTGAAGTTAGACACAAACAACATTACAAATCCAATGTATCACAGCTCTCGGGATATTGTTCATAATTCAACTTGATGTGAACTATTTCCAAACACCAGCGAGTTCTTTCCTTGAACAATCAATCATTCCAGCTCACTATTGCACATCTCGTTTGTCACATCACTCCTCACTAAGGAGACTGTGACTAACGTGTCCCTTTATAAATTACTAGTTAGTGCCCATTTCTTGGCACCACACTTTAAGAAGGTTATCGAGACCTTGGAGCAAATGTAGAAAGATTTATCAGGGATGAGGGACTTCAGTAATATGGAAAGAAACTAGGATTATTCTCCTTTGAGCAAAGGAGGCTCAATAATGGCCATGTCACTGGACTAGTAATTGCTTTTACATTTCAGTGCTGCACCTCAGGCTACACCTTAAACTCTCATTGCTGCAGCAAGGACACAGTGCGCTCAGGGACACATACCCAGCAAACGGACTGGACCAAACTATGCATCCGGGCTCCTCACTTGCTGTCACAGTGCTCTGTTGCTAGGAGCTGACCCGTATATGCGCGGAATCCCTACCTTGCATTACCTTGCCTTTTCACATCTGCCCTCTCAGTTAGAAATATCAGAATTGTATTACGGCTGTCTTGACATGCTGTG